AAAAATCCTTGCACTTGCATCTTTGTCTTTCCGACAGACACATGAACATTGGATTTGACTCATGCACCACCATCCTAATTAGCAGAAGAAAGTAATTAAACGTAGCTTTTGTGTTGCTTTTAATACTGTAATCAAATCCGAAACCCAGTGATGGCACTTTGCCGAAGGCTAAGATTCTGTGCACTCGGCCCCTGAAATAAAACCCATGCGCCATTCCATTTGGCAAACCAATTTGGGATGAGGGTAGGGGCAGGAAAGGGAGAGGTATAGATTAGCTGTAGTAATAACCATAAATCACCTCTGAAATGCTGCCATGTCACAGACTGCCTCACTAATGACCAGGCCCATCTTTCACCGGGTATTTTTATCTGTGTGCCCTGACACTCGACTTCTGGAAGCGTCCTCTCGTTTTACGTCGTCAGCACCTCGGCCCGGCCTGAGCACAAGTTCCTCACATATCTATAAATACCAACCAGCTAAATGGCATTTTCACCCACCCACCCATCCACCCCCTGCTTGGCAAGAACCAGGAGTTCTGTGACTTGGCAAAGGGACTCGCAGTCCTGCACCACTAAACATCTTAGGGCTTAGCCCCCCCGCCCTAGCGTCACCCTCCAGAGAACAGCTGGCTAAAAAAATAGATCCATCTGCCACTGCCTTCAAATTCCAAAGTGGTTTCAATTTAATTAAACGCTTTGAAATTGATTTATAGCAAATATGCGTGCATCTGTCCAGTCAGGTCACCTGTAGGATTACTTCCTGACCCTGCAGGTGTAGTTAAAGCATTAACATAGATTAGTGCTTGTTGACTCATGTGTGCCCACCAAAAACGCTCAAACACCTGCACATGCTTCCTTTGTGCAGAATGTTCTGCCAAGTTTTTTAAGCTTGCTGACATGTGGCACTAGAGACTGCAGGTCAGCGACAGCTTCCTGCTATTTCGGGCTCTGTCACAGCTTGAGGTTTTAATTTATTCTAACAGAATGTGTCAATCACTGAGCGGGTTCAGGCCTGAGTAAGTGTTGGGGGGAGAGGGAGAGGGAGAGGGAGAGGGAGAGGGAGAGGGAGAGGGAGAGGGAGAGGGAGAGGGAGAGGGAGAGGGCACAGCAGGCAGGGCCGAGAGTCAAACAGAACTAAAAACAAACTGATAATATGACGGAAAGTAAACTGCGTGAAATTCCCCACAACCTTTCCTTCATGCATTTACCACAGAATGCATGTGTTAAATGTGTTGGTCAACAGAAGCAGTGTCACATCAGGGACTCAGAGAAGTCTGCTGTCTGCACTAAACTTCAAATAAAATGTCCCTTTTAATAGGGTGAGATTTCAGTGATGTGTCATGTGATTTTCTGCACTAATAACTGCATGCATTTACGTGAAAGAAGGCTGAAAAGAGCACGTTATCAGAGAAGCAGCTTCACTCCTCCATCAGTGGCTACACAGGATACTGTACATTTAGGCCGTTTACTCAAGAAGGCTAAAATAGAGGAGAAGTCTTAGCGTGGTGTCGCGTCATATCGTTGACAACACATGCACAGTGAAATCGGGTCTGAACTTGCTGAAAGGCTTAATAGCTGGCACAGGATCATAAAACATTTGTCATGATTGATTTCACAGAGCTTTTAGCACGGAGGCCGTCAATAGAAGCCATATAGGCAAGAATTACAATTCTACAAACCTTTGCCCCAACATCAAGGCCTGCAGTACATTACTTTTACATTTATACAAATGAAACTGATTATTTAAAAATATATACACATTAACATTTACTTACGATACGTAGAAGGTGTGTTGCCTGTCTTGGTTTGGGTTGAAGGTCAAAGCATGTGTTGCCTTAAGATGAACCTCATATTCACTTTACTTTACTTAATGGGACAATTCCAGATGAGTGTCTTTGGTAATTGGGTTTGATGAATTACGTCTCAGTGTCAATGAGTATTGTTCTCTCTTTCTCTTAGCGTCAGGCCTGTTTGCCATGCCAGTGCGTGTACACAGACCATGCCACAGATTTGAATTTGACCCTCTCCCAATGCAGTGCCAAAGCAAGCACACACACACACACACACACACACACACACACACACACACACACACACACACACACACACACACACACACACACACACACACACACACACACACACACACACACACACACACACACACACACACACACACACACACACATCGCAGTCATCATGTGATGTCACACCTACTTCACATGGCATTATATGACTCTGCACAGTGCTAATGTATGAATGACAAAAAAGCTCAGATGTAAAGCAGTGTCACAGCGCAGGATGACAACAGGACTAAATAACCTGGCATTTGGACCCCTCCCTAATTACTCCTCTCGGTGTCTAAAGGCAAACGTTTTTCTGATTATATGATAATCTGTTTTTGTTACCTTTACAAAGTGATAACTTTAATGTATGTGTTCAAAGCTGAAGCAGACGTGTCCTCGGACATACCCTTGTGATGGTTGCTACACGCTAACTTTATGAGATGTCCTACTGTAGTACTTATAGGTATATTAAAAAATTGCAACATTTTATTAAGAAACACATAGCAATTGTTTATAATATTTATTAAAAAATAGCTTCGCTAAGGCAGAAAAAAATTAGATGTCATGTTGTTGAAGCCAGATGGGAATCATGCTCTTATCGATGCACAACCAACGTGTTCTACCAGAAAAACATTAGAGTTAAAACGAGGGCCTGCTGTTCCTTTCCCCATTTTCATCTTAAAGTCAATGCTAGGTTTCTTTAAAGCATGACCACAATCGATCTTGACTGTTATCCATGTGTTTGTTATTGTAACCATGACAATAAAGCTCAGCTGACCTTAACGAAGTAGTCATTTTCACCAAAACCACAATGTTTCCCAGTATGAACCAAGTACTTATTTCAACCCAAACCATGATCTTTTCCTTAACAAAGTGTTTTTTGTACCTCAACCAAACCGTAACCACAGTGCTGTCACATCATAAAACTGATTTATTTTTCAACAGTGATTTGTAATGGTTTTTAGAAGTCACAGACAATATTATGCTGTCGTGTCGATAGGGGCGTTAGATAAGAAAACGTCAAAGACAATTGATATATTTATTTGCTTAATTTTTTAGGACTCTATTTTTTTTACCACAGGTCACTTGATCCATTACACAGCCTGCTAATTGTCCTACTCCTAATAACTGATGAGATAACATTGAGTTCAGCCACTAATGTGTGTGTGACATCAATTATACTGCATCAAGCCTGCAGCTGGGATTATCTCCAGGACTTAATTTAACAGTTACACGTTACAAGGCAATGAATGGATAGAAAGATAAAAGGATGGGAGAGTGAGAGTAAACACTGAGGTTAAAAAAATAACCGCTTATCCAGTATGTAAACTTTCCCTTTCTCTCAGGATCTGCCAGCTGATGTGCCACTGTCATCCAAGGCCACAAAGACCAACACTTTTATTTTTTCCGCAGTGTTTGTGTGTGTAATGCCAATTGTTTTTATTACCAAGAAGCCTTTTAAATCATATAAACAAATTGCATTTGTGTGCATGAGAGGGACAGAAAAGCAGGGGAAAGAATGCAAGATGCATTTAGTTTGTATGTGTGTGTGTATTTGTGAATGTCAGCAGGATTTTCGAAACCAACAATCAAGGATCTGTCTGACATCATTATCCCAAATAAATGACAGCATGGTAAAAGAGCGCAGATCCGAGGCCAGCGGGATCCAACAGTCACAGAATCCATAAGCCATAACAAACATTCAATTTTTCAAATAAACTACACTCCATGGCCAAATCTGTCATCTATCTGGGGCCACTGTGGAGCGGTGCTGTCTGACTGAGTATATTAGAGCCATGTTTGTTATTTTGTTTTGTGCACGCAGCATGTTTTTGGGCTTTATTGGCACATTTGTTTACCATCTCTTTGTCTATTACTGTATATGGATTAACCAGGACCATGTTTTCCCTCTGCGTGTCTCTTTGATGTTGTTCTTTTGCTTTCATGTTTGCTTTTTATTAATGTATATGTGTGTATAATTTGTATGTGTGTGTGGGTCAGTGAGTGTCAGTTCACCCGAATTCTGCATTTAAGTGATTCTTAGATTTAACCAGACTTGATATTAGTACCCAGCTCTTTATTAGTGAACCCATCTCTTCTGGTTCACATCAATTATATCTGGAACAGCTTACAAAGTACAAACATTTTTTAATATATCATCACAGTCATAAACAAATTGTTTGCTTTGTAATGTTTTGTAAACTGCTTGGAGCATTTTTCCAACTTACATTAAAATTAATCCAAAAAGCTTCCAACTGCACGCAAAATACTGTATATTGTAGTTTGAAGTATAACTTTGTGTCTCTTTTGGTTTACGAACCAGTTCAGTGTCTTGTGGTTTCAATCTGTTCTTAAACTAAACATGTTATATATACAAGAGTCATATTTGTCACGTAATTGTGTTCTTAAATAACTGTTAACATATACAGTAACTATTGCCCCATGTTATCACTTAATGACAATTAATAATTTAACAGTTTAAGAACAACAATTTAAATTGTTTTAATATAATTATAGATTTATATGTGGTATAATAATTAAAACCATTGGGAGAATACATTTTACATATTTGATAGATAGCTACTGTAGATAGATAGATAGATAGATAGATAGATAGATAGATAGATAGATAGATAGATAGATAGATAGATAGATAGATAGATAGATAGATAGATAGATAGATAGATAGATAGATATAGATAGGTCAGTGGGTGCGTGTTGTTTTTGCTCTGATGCGATAAATAAAACTGTGAGCACGTCATTTGGGCCAAACTATTAATAAGAATGTCATTTTGGTATCCCCCTCCCCTCTGAACCCCATTAGTCCTTTGGACACTTGCCCAATACTGTCCGCATGGCAGCTGAGCGCATGCGCAGCGGAACGGTTTTCAATAATGAAGTTGAGCCTAATGCCTCTGAACAGCTTGGTGCTCAAACTTGGACGCGGACTGAAAATTATGTTGTTTCCCGCTGAGGTGAGCCGTCCGGTCACCGAAACCGAGACCCGGGACTCTTGTCTGAGTTTGTAAATTGGTTTAATCGAGTGTGAGCAACTCGTCGGGCTTGTTTTTGGACTCTTGCGGGTAATGGCCAGCAGTGGCTGAAGTGTTTTGATCCAGTCAGTGACAGCCTGCAAACAGCAGGGAGAGCTGTGCGGCGACCACACTGCATTTGATTATGAGCCTTTCTAAGAAGTGAAGGGAATCTGGGAGCTGTTTCTTGCTGAGACAAAAGTAATTTAAGCACAGGTATGTTGACTTTCTTTCTTATTTATGGGCAATAACAGATCTGTGGTTTTACTCTGAAAAACATCATGCGAGTGACAGTTTTGGGTTCATGCAGTCCGAGGATCAGTCGATAACTGTCATGGTTATTGACTTTGATTGAAACTGATTAATTAAATTAAATCTAAACTATGCAAAGTATTGAAGTATGATTCCTTTTCAAAACATGCTTTATTATTAAATTATTTATCCCACAAACAATGTATTATACGTAGACATTTTCACAATTTATATGAATTTATTTGCGTAAATTGATGAATGCAATTACGCACCCATTAAAACATCTATCAAATTGAATGACTGTCATATTTAAATTGGTGTCCATGTTTCACAAGTCATTTATGGAGTCCCAACTCCATCTCATCCCCTGGCACGTTCAGGCCACTTTAATTTATATTAACCACCTTTTAATTCGCAGGTAGAGACTGAGAAAAACTACATTTTATAGACGAGAACTCTCACAATTTCACAGTAAATTCATTTTGATTGTCATTTATTAAAGAGTACTCCCCCGTAAAACTGGTATATTAAAAAGGTTTTCTTTTACATATTTTTTCTTAAATAAAAGTTTAATTCTGATGGTGATTTGCCCTATGATCTCTCTGACTCTAGCTAGGTCGATGTGGTTTCTACCTTTTTTTAAATCCAGATTCATCGCATGGAGGAATGTAGTGTCTCCTCGGTGCTTTGCCAGCATCCCTCCGTGTGTCCTCGATTTTTCTCATCCCACGTGGAGTTTGTGTTTATATTTGATATGGAGGAAATGGGAATCGTATACCGCGTCCGAGCTCCCAGGGCTTGAATGGCCCCTGGCTATTGGCCTGCCCCTAACAACATAACAAGTTACGCGCCGACTCAAAATCTGATAGGCCTACTGCCCCGTAATCCATACAGATTAGATTTCACATTAAGGACTCATACTTAACCAATGCGCATTAATGCGCAATAGATGGATGGACGGGGTTGGGGTTGTGGAGATTTTGGGGAATGTTAATGTCCTCTAGAGATGGAAACTAAATTGTTCCGACTTTTATTTATTTTTTGAATTAAATAGCACTTTGGATATTTATAATAAAGCCTATACCGAAAACTGCACTACATTTTAAAATAGTCTGTTTTACATTGTGATGACAACAATATAACGTAGCCTATCGATTTATTCTGTCCTATACAATTTAATACATGTTTTAATAAATTGCAATGTAGTTTTAAAATGGCCTTTACATTTGTTCAATTTATTTCATAAATTTACATTTAATGTTTAATTTGTATGTTTATTTTATTTTTCTGTTGTAGTTTTATTATCTGAAATGTTTTTTTACATTCAATATAAGGCTAAAGGGACAGTCCGTAGACTTTTTGTTCTAAAGCTAAGAGGGGAAAATCATTTTGCATGTATCAAAAATAAAATATCGGTATCATTATAGCCAGTAATAAGGAAAACAACTATTATATTTATTGACTTAATTGTCTAATAACAAATACATGTATAGGCCTATACTGCCCATTAAAAACATTTATTTTGACGATTAGGCCTACTCGACAATTATTCACAGGAATTAATATGTGCCTCACTTTTGCGGAAATAATCCAAATTGAAATTTACAGAGAAGAACTGCATCTGCATCTATTTTTCTGAACAATTAAAGGAACATTTAAAAAACTGTCACCCTCCAATAAAAACGATCTGTGCGTAACAACGACAGATGTCAATAAAGTTTGACTCGGATTGAATACTTTTCACAACACGCTCTCCTGCAGCAGCAGTTTGCGGTTTGTTCAACATTCTCCTCTCTTCGGCTTTTATAGCGTGAAATTACCGCAGTGTAGCCGTGCAGTGCACTTTCTAACCCTCCGCTGTCCCATATGTGTTTCCTATGTCGCTGTCAATAGCCATAGTGAGAAATCTAATTCTCTCTTCTGGGACCCTCAAGGAAATGGCTGGCATTATTGATTCCCCTTGCAGTGTCAGGTAACTTCTGGTTTTAGGGCCGTGTCAGGCAGACATGTGTAGTGGGATATACCACATACTGTAGCTAGAGATGGGCAAACTAGTTAACGTATAAGAATATTTAAAAACAACAATTTATATGTTTTTTTTCTCCAATATACATATTCTAAGCTACCATACTTTGATACTGAGTGTAACATAAGATACAAATGTATCACTTTCTTTCACAAAAAATTCACTTCTCATAACTTGATTGATAATCTTGACTTAATGTGGGTTTGCCACTACATCCTCACTAAATAGGAATACATCATAAAAGGGCAGAGTAAAAAGCAAACAGAAGCCTGAGTCTGTCCTCCACAAAGGTGAGAGGGGGGGAGAGAGGCAGAGAGAGAGGAAAGGAGGGAGGGAGGGAGGGAGTGGGGCACAAATCAATTCACCTGAGAGACGCATTATTGTCTTGGGTTTCAGGCGAGGAGGAGCTGAACGCTATGAAAAATTAAAAGGATGCCAGTTAGTTTAAAGGAATCGAGCCAGAAAAGTCCACAGCTTACGAGCACACACACACACTGACGCACACTCACTCACTCACTCACATGCATACACACATACACACACACACACACACACACACACACACACACACACACACACACACACACACACACACGGATCAAACTGTAACAACACTTAATTAATAACTCATTTAATGTTCTTACTTGTCAATTCGGGACACATTTAGATTTAAAAGACTAGTCAGCTTTTGTAGGAGATGAATACACATACATACTCTATATGTTCTCTCTCTCTCTACATTGACACAGAGCCTTGAATACACTGTGCAGCAGCTTGCTCTTGACACTGGTTCGAATTGCAGGTGTAGAAAAATATTCATGTAAGGGAAATAGTGCAAATGCATTAAAACTTCGTCACAGGGAAAATGAGCCGGGGGCACTCCTTGCCACACTTGCTGGGAAACTCAGATCTAATGACAGGGAAGGACTACTTGTATGTGCGTGTGGTTTGTGTCTTCCCAGCATGCTCTTTTGTTCGACTGTGAAACTTTCGCACACAATAGCAGAAAAGAGCCATTTTGTGCCGTTCTGTTGGGATGATGGCATTGTTCTCCATTCTTTCAGCTGACCTTTTGTTGCAACTGCGTCACAATGGCAAAGGAAACAAGGCTAGGGCAGAATGTGAGTTATGTGCTTTTCTGATCGCAACATCTAATCTCACTCAGGTTGTAGACAATCACCTCGGCCTCCCCGTCGCTCCGGACTCCTGCGCCAACCTGTCTCCTGTCTAGTATTAATAGGGTCACTCACTGTCTTCGCGTGCCAGTCAGCCACTGTGACTGTGGTCCAGAGCCAGCCAAGCAGCCGTATCATTTACACTTCTCCATTTTCATTGTTGATATTTACTTCTGCAATTATCTCTCCACTTCACCCTCGGCTAAAGATGATATGCTGAAGTTACTGCTGCCGCTTCCCTCCTTCAGTCTCCTGTTGCTCACACATAAACACAGTGACAGAAGGTCTAACCGACAGATGCACATAGACGTGAAAAAAAGGAGAAATGAATACAGTAGGTGCATGGTTTCATCCACAATGTGATTAAATGTGGCAATCAAACCCCCCCAATCGACATCACTGCATAACAAAGTTACAGTAGTACAGGTGATGATTCAACCTGTGCCCAGGTAATAAAAAAAAAAAGTGCATTTTTTATTTCACATATCCATTGACGCCCATTTTATTTCCATATTTTTTGCCCCTCAAGTGTGTGGCGGATCACAACCAAAGAAGCCATGGAGGCCTCACAGGACCTCAACGAACAGATGGTGAGTTAAACGCTACTGTATGCATGTGAATGTGTGTGTGTGTGTGTGTGTGTGTGAGAGTATACCTTATATCGACCACACAAGTCTGAGGTATGGGTACATTGGAGAGACGTGTGTGTGTGCGGTAACACACAGCAGATGTGGTTCAGTGAGTGCACAGTAACCATATGGCTGCAGTCAGAGTGAATGAGGCCAAGACACAATGCTGGACAGAGACATCAATTTAGGAACTGTGTATGTGTGTGTGCGTGCCTAAAGTGAATACACAGTTGGTTATCCCAGTTATTTAATTGAATGATTAACTTCATTGAAAAAAGTAGGCCTTTTTTATCCTCACCACATCTATTAGAGCTCAATCACACACACACACACACACACACACACACACACACACACACACACACACACACACCGTGCCTGAGAGTTTGTCGGTGTCTCTGCACAGCGGGCCGTCTCTTCGTCACGTCAGTGCAGCGTCCCAGTTCTGCTTGTTTAAAGATCAGGCCGTATTGTTGGGAAAATGATTTTGGCGGCGAGCGAGGTCTGCTCGCATTTCAAAGTCGTTAGTCAGCCACCAGAACAGGTGTAATTTCATCTCCTCCTCCTCCTCCTCCTCCTCCTCCTCCTCCTCCATCAAGCTTGGTTCTCTCTCCCTCACTCTCCCTCTGACCTGCCAGCCACGACAGTAATAATAGCACGAAGTGGGACAGAGCGCATGAAGTATGTTGTTTTTCCCCCTCTTTTTGTGTTGCTCTGTCAGACTCGCCCTGGGTTGGATTACGGGCTGACCCCAGCAGAGTACTGTCACTCACACATACAGTACAGTACAAAAACACACAGAGAAAGACAAAGAAAGGGGAGAGGAACATTCATCTTTTCTCGCTGCCACCTAAATATCAAATATTGATGTCCATATTCCACAATTACTTCACCTGCTTAAAATAGGGCACTGATATCATTTATAATGCGAATTTGAGCTGCGGCCTCAAAGACATTGATTAATTGTTCAGGTTGGAAATGAGAGCTCAGAGCAAGGACAGAGATTTGAATCATACTGCACAGAGCTATAGGCTTACAGAGCTGAGATCTGTGACTTCCGGGACTTATTTTCAAGTATTCAACTGCACATTTTGAAGCTATATCATAATAGTTTTGTTGTTGTGCATCCGTGTTTGAATCAGTATTTAGGAAAGTACATCCAGCCTTAGCTAATGTCCAGTCAGAATATAGTGAAAAATGCTTTGAGGTTGACTCATTCAGATGATCTGTTTGGTCCCACCAACATTGCAAAACCCAAAGTTATTTTGTTCAATATCATAGAGAAAGAGAGAGAAAGAAAACCAGAGGTGAAGCCAATCAGCATCTAGCTTTTCTGCTTAAATAATGCTTCCAAATGGTTACTTTTTGTCTCACTTTCATTACACCTGAGCTTTTAATTCTACGTCTGACAGTTTCCAAGTATTCAATTTAAAATATATTATTTAATATTTAAGCTGAAAGTGGCTAACTCTTTCCCCGCATTGCTTCATTGAAATAGGCGTGTCTCGGGTGACTGAGAAAACAGCGCAGACCTCACACACAAAGTTTCGGGGAGTTGTCTGTTGATACCTGATACCCTCATCCCTCCCCTCTACCCTTTTAGAGTCCCCCCCCCCCCCTTTCTGTCCCTTACTTCCTCCACCCCGCCCTTTTCCCACCACATCCATCGCACGTCATCTGGGTTATGGTCAGGCGTCCTCTCTGGCCGCCTGCCTGCCGAGGGCCAGCCTGCCGTCTGGGGTCCTCTGGGAGCGCTGCAAGGAGCCTGAGGCAGGGCCAACAGTGGTTAGCCCCTTAATGCTACTTTTAGCTCGTTTAAGTGTCTCACTCCACCTGTTGTCACTTACTTGTTTAGCTTTGAAGAAAAGGTGATAACTGCCTTTTGGTGATGTTTTTGAGATAAAGAGATGATGCTGTTTGGATCAAATGTTTTTTTTTTTAAATGAGTTAAATCATAAGGATTTGTTTTAGCATTAGGCGTTTATATCAGATAGACTAGTCTTTGAGTATAAACACACAACACTCACAAACTCCACACACAGTCCCTCTGGATCCGACAGAGCCCTGATTGAAGTCTCCAGTCTGTTGGCGAGTGGAGGAAGCGGTGAGAGACGTGGGGGGGGGGGGGGCCGCGGCGGTGTTTGTTGACCCCGGGGAGCCTTGCAGGATTTAAATGTATGGCCACCAGAAGAAAAAAGTAAGAGAGATGAAGGAGGAGGTAAAAAAGAGGGGAAAAAGGTTATTTTAGCTGTAGCCTTTTCCTCTGGTGCACTGGGAGAGGCCCCGAGTATGGCAGCTGTCCCAGTCTGTGTGTGTGTGAGACAGAAAGACGGAGAGAGAGACCAAGTTAGAGGAGGAAAGGGGTCAGGTTGCACCCCTCTTTCACCCCTACAACCCCATACAGACACATTTGCACAAACTTACATGCAGCAGCAGTAGCTAAATGCGAGCACGGCCCAACCCCGATTGCCAAGATTGCATTGGCGTCACAGACAGTCGTTTTTCAAATCTGCCCGGCGACAAGGCATGTGGACAGATCACAAGAGTGTGGAGTGTAACAGCTACCCCCTGGCATCCCTCTACTAGGCTGGCATCCTAGTTGTGGCACCGAGGCGCTCTTCAATTTCAGCTTGGTGTACAGTGATTCTTGTAAGATTTATGTTTAGTTGACAGCTGAGTGTTGCTGAGAGGCTGACGTTCAGTCTTCTAGTCGCCTCCGCCTTAGCTGTAAAGAGGGGAGAAAATATTTATGGCAATAACTTCATAAAAAGAAGCCGTTATTCTTGATTGCGTTAGGGTTTGTAACTACAGGAGGGGATGAAGTCTAACAGATGCAGCAAAGTTAAAATAGGAAGCAAAAAATGTGGAGCATGCAATAAAACGTAACTCATCCTCATCAGGAAAATGTTCAATAAATACTTTGACACTAGGGGAAATATTCTCTTTTCTGCTGAGAATAAAGGCCATTTAATTCAGACAGCACCTTTAGAAGTGTTTTTGACACTTTGTCACACGAAAGATTACACTTCCATTTAACAAATGTGTGAATTCACACTAACTTCGTGACTTCCATATGGGATATACGTCACCTACAGACTGACGTTTTATATTACACATATTATCCCACTGTTTACTTTCTGAACGCTATCTGTAATGAACGCAAATCAAAAAATAAAAACAATGCAAATGTCTTCCCATGAAGCCTAAATGAATGCTGGCTGTTAAATTGAAAAATAACAACCAAAACATCTGTCTCTCACCAAAATCTGTTCATTCTTGCCTTGGTTCAGATAATCTATAACTCATATATGAGAGTCTGGCCAGCCAGGGAAAGGCAGCTAGGTGTGAGGTGAGCAGGTCACAGACAGCCTGTGAGCCAATCACAGTCTGACGGAGTCAAAGCCCCCAAACAGACTGGAGAATCCATCTAGAAACCCAGAGCCACCGGCGTGGGCTTTCTAGAAGAACGCACCAGACAGGAAACCACATGATATGTGTGCTTCAGTGTCTGCTGTATGTGTCTGTGTAAGAGCAGTGTGTGTGTGTGTGTAGGTGTTTCTTTCTCTGTTATACACATAAACTCTCTGTGGTGTGGGACGGCTGAGGTCATCTGAGTGGAGACGACCTCATATTGTGACCGTGCTTGTTTAATGGAAGTCAATCAGGGCACGATATTTCATGCCAAGATTTCTCTTTATTGATTACTCAAAGAGTTTTAAAAGAAAATCACATTATTGCCAGATGTTACATTTGCCCACTACTGAAGATTTTAACATCATTCTTAAAGAGCAGTGACACTGAATTCAAACTCCAGAGCTTTGAAACAGAAGAACAGAAGTCCTCAAGTACTCAAACATTTTTATTTTTTCGTTCCCAGCCACTTCCATAAATAGAGCCCTTGATAGCACAGCCCACCTTTTGTTCAGACCGGTCTTCTGGCCAAACGTTCATCTGCCATTGGTTACAAAAAATGCAGCGTATTTCCTCATTTTGCTGGGAAGGAAATGAAATTGCAACAATTGTGCTTTGGTTTTGGAGGAACCTGCTTGCCCTGCCTGCCGCGAGAACTTCCTCTGCTGCTCTGCCGGGGGATTGTGTTTCTCTCTAAAATCAGATAGGTAACAGAGGGGTCGCCAGGGCCAGATGATCTGTGACCTGGGTCTGCGCTCACTCAATACTTCAGATTAGGGCTGCAGCTAATGATTACTTCCATTATCAATAAAACCATTATATCCATATACATCTTTTGTTAACATACGTTGTTGTTTTTTCTCTGACTATGGGTCTTTGCTTATAGCTGGGGACATATGTGTCCAATACCTGGCTGAATAGAACATTTTATTTGAGATTATAATAAAGTTGAAGTTTAAGGTATGTTATATGATTTCAGAAAAGCTCAAGGTAATGTACCAACAATTATGGTTTGGTGGTTTGGTTAGTTTTTTCAGGTTTCTTTCTCTATTAGGGTTAGGGTTAGTTGTACAGTAGTAGTTCTTTTCCACATGAAAAAGGGAGATGGAGGGAACAACATGCAGAGAAGGGCAAGCAGGAATTCTTACAATTAAGAAGCTTGAACAAAAAATGTTTGGCCTTTGCGCTTGATAAATTAACCATTAGTGATAATTGGATCATTAAAATAGTTGCTGACTCGTTCTCTGTTAATTCAATAATTGTTCCGACGTTACTTAGGTACAAATCGACATGAAGATTAAATGAATTCTGGATTCACACGGGACACCTAATAGTCTGGTGTTTTCCACCCCATCCTCTTCCCTAGGGGGGCTTTACTCATACTTCCTGGTTCACAATTACAAAGTAAATATTGCGGGATATAGACAAATGATGGCGTATTACGTTTAGCTATGAAAAAGGAGTGTATCCCACAGCATGCAAGAGCTTTACTGTATTATTTAGACCGGTAAGTTTTGCATTTTTATTTTCACTTTATGCTAGATTTATTT